TAAGACTTAATTTTCAGTAGTATAAAACAGACCCAACTGCATTGTGCAAAGCAGAGCAGCTGAGGATGCTGACAAAAACAAAAAATTCTTAGGCACCCACTGAAGCAAATAACAAGAAAGAAAATGTCAATTTCTGCACAGAAAAAGCAAAGCTTTAGATAAAATGTCTCTTACAATTTGATTATGTTAATAGTATTATTTTTTATTAGAGGGTCTTTTTCTGTACTTTTCAGGTTTAGAAGCCAAATAAAGGTCAATCTTTGCTCCCTCTTGAGGAGAGTGATCTATTCTAGGAGATATCTTAAATCTGTGGCTCCAAAGGAAGCAACTGTAAAAACTGAAGCACATGTTTACTCTGAATTAGACGTCATTAGACATCCAGTAGCTACTGATGGCATCATAATGGCTTAGTGCAGAGATTGTGTTCATAGGATGACTAAGCCAGATCTCTCTCCTCCATCTGTACCAGATTCTCTGTCGACTCATCAACAGTCTTTATCCACGGGGCAAAGAACCCATTAAAAAAATCCCTGAGACCCAGATGGCCTTTAAACAAATGGAGAAGATCTCCCAGTTCCTGCAAGCGGCAGAAGCTTATGGAGTCACCACCACAGATATTTTTCAAACTGTGGACCTCTGGGAAGGTAAGGAGATCTTAGAAACCTTTTTACCTCTTAGTCTGTCCCCCTAGAACTCTGCATATCCACTAGTAGATACCTGTTAAAATAAGATAACTTTATTGTCCATCACATTTTCTGAGACTAGGATTTGACTTCGACATCTGGCAGTGATTGGTACATGAAACACATAGTTTAGAAGGTATATCTATCTGCTGCAAAATGGATGGATGGATGGATGGATGGATGGATGGATGGATGGATGGATGGATGGATGGATGGATGGATGGATGGATGGATGGATGGATGGATGGATGGATGGATGGAGGGAAGTGGAGCCCCAAATTAAACTTGTCTTCCCAGGGCCGTCCTGTTTTTAGCTCCATCCATCTTTCTAAGACCTCTAGCTTTCGTGTCCCTTTTGAAGAAAAGCATGATGCTGCCATCACCGTATCCCACCATTGGGATGGTGTGTTCAAATCTTTGAGGCCTTCACATAATAGCTGTATGAGTTCTGAGTCTACGCACTGGTTAGCTGACCTACAAAGGTAATTTTTGCATTACATCTTTTTTAGGGGTGACAGAATAAAATGGACTGAATATAAATGCATGAAACATTTTCAGACCCATGTTTGTAAAAAAAAACTGAAAATTTGGGATTTTTTTTTTTATATAAATAGGTATAACATACACAAACTCATCTCCTGTATTCTTAATATGAAGTTAGATATATTTCAAATTTAGAAAAGCATACTACAAATTATTATTCAAGAACAAATTCATTCTTATAATCTATGGACCCCCTAAGATAACCCTAACCCCTGGCCCTCCCCATTAATAAAAGTGTAGTTCCACCACTGCTCATCTACAAACCTTTGTTCACATGTTTGCTGGTTATAGGCAAAGATATGGCAGCGGTGCAAAGGACCCTGATGGCCCTGGGGAGTTTGGCCGTCACAAAGGACGATGGCCAATACAAAGGTGACCGAGACTGGTTCCACAGGTATGGGAAGCTACTCAAAAAGCCCCATAAACCCACCTTCAGGTCCCTAACATGTACCTTGCTTCTTTCTGGTTGTGCATGCTGCAGGAAAGCCCAGGGGTACCGACGAGAGTTCTCCCAAGAGCAGCTGCGCCAAGGACAGAGTTTAATCGGCCTGCAAATGGGCAGCAACCGCGGTGCTTCCCAGGCTGGCATGACGGGCTACGGTATGCATCGTCAGATTATGTAGACCCCCCCTACACCACTTGATCTCAGACTTTCTTTTCTACTAATTCCACAAATGCTGTAGCCCTAAGCTTTGCCACATTTCCCGTTTTAACCTCAACTTCCCTAGAAATGCTGCTTCTGCTCGACAGTTTTCCTTCACTCCGTAATAAAATGATGTCATCTGTACTAGAGCTTTATGTCTTAATGCTTCTTCTATACTGCTCCTGTTTTTTCCCTTTTTTCCCTCCATATTATACTTTTGGCTACCGGTAATCAATGTGTATTTTTTTTATTCATGGAGTCTTAAAAGAATTTTAAATACAATAAAAGCCATCTGTACTGTACAGTTGTTTACAGAGATACATAAACTGACTGTTAAGGCATGCTGTATGTATTGGTATTTATATATTTCCTAAATTCTGGCGATTGTAGAATATTCTGTTCCTGTGTGGTTATTTTGCCTTAGTCCTAGCAAGGCTCAATATGTGATGATGTCTCTGCTATCTTGTCTGAACCAAATCAGCCTCACGTTGTGCCTGGTTATGGGGCTTCAAAGGCTGAGTCCTTGATCTGCTGGTATTAAATTAAAGATGGGCGCCATTTGTTCTGAGCCATGCCCTCATTTATTATCTGTTACATATTTGTTTAAGCTGTGTCTAAAATGTGCACGGTGTAACATGTAAATGTGCAGTAGCCAACACGTATGACAATAAAGGGTTGATGGTGCCGGGTAAACCTGTTGCTTGAATGTGTGCTGTTTATGTGTGAAACGTTTGTATTTTAGACATATATTTATATTTAGAGGTGTGTCAGAAGTATTACTGGAATGATAAAGTATAAGATATATTTTTTCTCATTTTTGAGATGGAGTGAAATCCGTGTGCTCAAAGTTAGCATTGAGTGATGTTTGTCTCTTATCTTGGCTTTATGTTCCAGCTCCTCCCTTGCTGCCACCCTTATTGTCTCTCCTCTCTATGCACAATCTAATAAAGCCTCTACAGTACAGCGTAATAATTTGGATGTTGTTTTTTATTTAAGCCAGAGTAACAGTAACCCTTTGTTAGCAGCACGAGTGTGAAATTAAATCTATTTTCTTTTTATGATGTTATAGGCTTATTTTCCCTATGATGAAGGTGGAGGATGACAATCATTTCAGTGAGAAATCACAGGGATCAGTTGCCAGGCTAGTTCAGGCTTCCATCCATCCATCCATCCATTATCTTACACGCTTGTCCCAATTGGGGTCGCGAGGGGTGCTGGTGCCTATCTCCAGCAGTCAATGGGCGAGAGGCGGGGTACACCCTGGACAGGTTGCCAGTCCATCGCAGGGCAAGCTAGTTCAGGCTTTATATGTAAAATTGATCAAATGACAGGTTTCCATTAATGGGACCGTTCCTTAATAAATTTTTGTATATTTAAGTCTAATTTGAAGACACCTATTGTAAATACGATCCAAAGAACCCCAAGAGCTTCAGGAGGCAACAACAATCACCTACTTGACCCTTGGAATTAAATCAGTTAATGGAAATCTTTTTTGGTTAATTCATACGTCAATATATTTTTTAAACAACAGGGAACATACTTGTTAGTTCAGGGATAAATGCAAGGAAAAGGTTAAAGTTTCTTTAGGTTATTATTATATAGGTTAGAATCTCAAGTAGAGCACAATTCAATCCAGGGGTGCTTTTAGGATGGTAAAGTATTGGAGTCTGTAGCCCAGTCCCCAAAACGTTACATTTTCATAAGATAATTGCACAGTTTTAAATTCTCAATGGAGATAAAACAGGACATAGCGTACTAGTTGTTTGCCTTGGCTTGAATTAAAATATAAAGAAAAATATAAATTGTGATTTAAACCAAAGAATGTTTACAATAATTTTACCATTTTTTTTTTTATTATTATTTGAAGTGAAGGGTGAAGATAACCTTGTTTAGGATCGGAGGAAAAAATAACTTTAAGAAGTAGAGCATTATGAATTTTAGGATATGTAAAATAAAAAACAATCCAGTGTTTTGCTGGTTCTTTTTGACAAAAGTTGTTTTTTAACAAAACAATGTTTATTTTGGGTCAAATGAGTTCTTACATCTAAGGGAAATGGTGAGATTTAAGAAGAAAAAATATTGCTCAGATAGGAGAATATGTTTAATCTTGGATGAAAGCCGTAGAGAAAACAACAAAGTAGAAAAGATTGAACATCTTGGAGAAAAAAAAAAAAACTCCTCTATAATGAGACATGTATTATTATGAGTCATTTGCAACCTGTTAAGGCTGCAAATGCCTAGTGATTGGAATCCATGTTTACTAACCAGCAGGGCAGCAAAACTGAGCATAGAGCCAGAGCTACAATGGTGTGGTTTATTTCAAACTACAGTATATGGTGTTTAGGTATGGCCATGCAAAAGTCCAGACCACGTCAAATGGGAAATCTATGGAAAGACATAAAACTGATTCATTAAAGCTTTTCTGAATGATGTGGAATAATGTCAGCCTAGAGGTATACCCCTGAAACTAGCAGCTGTGAAGGCAACAATGGTGGTTCAAGTATTGGCCCACAAAACAAATACAGGCTATACTTTTTACATTTCAAATGTAAAAAAACTTTGAAAAAAATTATTCTCTTCTTTACTTGAACCTTTTTTGCTGCCCTATTTAATGCCATTGAGAAATTAATGTTTTTGTCTTTCAAAATAAAACGAGAACATTTTTCAGTTTCTAAATACTTCTGCCAAATCTATAAACACTGGACGTATATTCGGATACAAAGTCATTGGAAGGATGTGTGAATAAAAAGAAGGAGACTGGAAAAGGCCTGAGACCAATGTAATAAAAAACAACAGCTGGTAATTGAGATTTTGAACCCAGCTGTTCATATTTAAAAGCCACTAAACCAATCCATGCCATCTGATATTCCTGTTGCTCCTCTTTTAAATTACACTCATGAAACAAAGCATGCATATTAGCATTGGACAACTAAGCAGAGTCTAATCAGATGTGGATCATTAAACTAAAAGGCTACTGCTCTTTGACATAAAGGTCATTTGATATATCTGATTGTGTTTCATAGTGCAGTAAATAAACACTGTATCTGCCAATGAGATATCAAAGCATGTAACTATATGCCCAAGTTGAATGTCTTGTTTTGCACAGACAGGCAGCTCAAGTGGAACAATGCGGTTCTGTTTACCTTCCTATTCTCAGACGCTGTGACTCTGGGCTTATTATTAGCCTCAGCTGGACTAGACAAGCATCTGAAGGGCTAGAGGCCATGCATAACTGATGGAGCAGAGTCAATGACTAAACAAGTGAGCCAGTGAGAATGCTCTGAGAAATATGTTAAGCTTTCTCCAGACTGTGAATCTTTGGCTCCTGCTATGAACTTGTCTACTGTTGCATGGGGTTTGACTGAAAGTCCTGATACTGACAGTGTGCATTGACTGAGAGTCTGTAAGTCTGAGCGTTTAGTATGCAAAATGTTGCAGATAAGCTTAAGGGTTGCGCTCCTGCTCCTGCTCTTGGTTGTCAGATGCATTGCAGAGGAATCAACACCGTCTAAAGGTTGCGTTTGCGGGTATCCTGGAATACCGGGCGATCCCGGTCACAACGGTTTACCAGGCAGAGATGGCAGAGACGGACTCAGAGGGGACAAAGGAGAACAAGGTGGGTTGGGAAGAAGACTTAGGAAGATTTAACATGTTTATTAGATTAAAATATTCATTCAGATGAGGGTCATTTGTCAGATTAAAAATACATTCAGCAAAGTTTAACCAGGAGTTAAACGTATTCTAATTTTCATTAAGCTCAGATATCAGGATTACATTATATATATATATATATATATATATATATATATATATATATATATATATATTTTTTTTGTGTCATATTCAAATGTTAAATTTCATGTTTTCATTACCTTGAACTGGAATATCATTATAATCAAGAATAATCAGGGTGTGTGACTAATTTGCGTTTTATTCAGGGAACTTGGTTGCAGATATATTCAATTTTTTTATAATAAAATTTTATGAATATGGTTGCATATTTAAAAACCCTTTTAAATTGTTGTTTCATGTGAAGGTGAAATTGGCCCTTCAGGACCAGCTGGTGTTGGAGGCCTAAAGGGAGACAAAGGCGACACTGGTATGTGTCTTGAAAATAACAGCCTGTTAAAAAACAAAACAAAACAAAAAACAAACAAACATGTCTGTTAGTGTTATTTTATTTGCTTACTTTAAAGCATTACATTGAAATGAAGAAAAAAAAAGTAATCATACCCCACTGATGAAAATTAATTTTAAACGATTTTGTAGAAGAACAAAAATTGTTAATGGTTTTCAGCAGTGTTTAGTTGTAATCACCTAAAAATTAGTTATTCTTGTAACAGGACCATAAAAAAAGAAAAAAAACAGTTGCTCCCACTAACTTTGCAGATTTTGTTAATCAAACTTACGCAATTCTAGTAAAATAAACTAGTCTTTGTTATGAGTCTTGATTTTTCTTTCACTCTTATTATGTTTGGTAACTGTATACTCGTTCTCTATAGGTACAAGTGGTGCTACTGGGTCTAAAGGAAAAAAAGGAGATAATGGTGAGAGGGGACCTCCTGGGAAAATGGGCCCCCAAGGAATACAGGGACCATATGGGCCAAAGGGAAGTAAAGGAGATCTTGGCCTGCCAGGACCCCAAGGACCTAAAGGAGATGTAGGGTCTCCAGGACCACATGGTCCAAAGGGGGAAGTTGGTCTTCGAGGTGACAGAGGTATTCAGGGGCCACTGGGACCCCCTGGCAAACCAGGCCCTAAGGGAGAAATGGGTGTTCCGGGTCACAAGGGCAACATTGGCTACCGTGGAGAAAGAGGTGCCCGGGGTGAGAAGGGTGAGGGGGGTGAAAAAGGTGAGTCTCCTGTCATCCCCAAAAGTGCCTTTTCCGTGGGACTAACAGCCCGTAGTAAACTTCCACCAGCTAATACGCCCATCAGGTTTGACAAGATCATTTACAACCAGCAAAATCACTACGACCCACAGTCTGGGAGATTCACCTGCCCCGTGGCAGGCGCCTACTTCTTCACCTACCACATCACCGTCTTCTCCAGAAATGTGAAAGTGGCCCTAATGAAAAATGGGGCCAAAATCATCCACACCATGGACAATTACCAGGCCAGCGAGGACCAGGCAGCAGGGGGCGCTGTGCTGCACTTGGATGTGGGGGACAGAGTGTGGCTGCAGGTGGTTGGAGGAGAGCTATTTAATGGGCTATTTGCTGATGAAGATGATGACACTACTTTCTCTGGGTTTATAATCTTTGGAGCTTAATTAAAGCTATTTGATAGGTGTTGGAAAATCTCAGACAGTATAAAACAGATATGTCTCATTTTAAGGAAATAAATGTTGAATCTTTATACAGGTGCTGGTCATAAAATTAGAATATCATGAAAAAGTAGATTGATTTCAGTAATTCCATTTAAAAAGTGAAACTTGTATATTATATTCATACATTACATACAAACTCATATATTTCAGATGTTTATTTTGTTTAATTTTGATGATTACAAATGACAACAAATGAAAATCTCAAATTCATCATATCAGAAAATTAGAATATTGTGAAAAGGTTCAAAATTGATGGCCCCTGGTGCCACACTCTAATCAGCTAATTAACTCAAACCACCTGCAAAAGCCTTTAAATGGTCTTTCAGTCTAGTTCTATAGGCTACACAATCATGGGGAAGACTGCTGACTTGACAGTTGTCCAAAAGACGACCATCGACACCTTGCACAAGGAGGGCAAGACACAAAAGGTCATCGCTAAAGAGGCTGGCTGTTCACAGAGCTCAGTGTCCAAGCACATTAATAGAGAGGCGAAGGGAAGGAAAAGATGTGGTCGAAAAAAGTGTACAAGCAAGAGAGATAACCGCACCCTGGAGAGGATTGTGAAACAAAACCCATTCAAAAATGTGGGGGAGATTCACAAAGAGTGGACTGCAGCTGGAGTGAGTGCTTCAAGAACCACCACACACAGACGTATGAAAGACATGGGTTTCTGCTGTCGCATTCCTTGTGTCAAGCCACTCTTGAACCACAGACAGCGTCAGAAGCGTCTTGCCTGGGCTAAAGAGAAACAGGACTGGACTGCTGGTGAGTGGTCCAAAGTCATGTTCTCTGATGAAAGTAAATTTTGCATTTCCTTTGGAAATCAAGGTCCCAGAGTCTGGAGGAAAAGAAGAGAGGCACTTCATCCACGTTGCTTGAAGTCCAGTGTAAAGTTTCCACAGTCAGTGATGGTTTGGGGTGCCATGTCATCTGCTGGTGTTGGTCCATTGTGTTTTCTGAGGTCCAGGGTCAACGCAGCCACATACCAGGAAGTTTTAGAGCACTTCATGCTTCCTGCAGCTGACCAACTTTTTGGAGATGCAGATTTCATTTTCCAACAGGACTTGGCACCTGCACACAGTGCCAAAGCTACCAGTACCTGGTTGAAGGACCATGGTATCCCTGTTCTTAATTGGCCAGCAAACTCTCCTGACCTTAACCCCATAGATTTTCTATGGTATTGTGAAGAAGAAGATGCAATACACCAGACCCAACAATTCAGAAGAGCTAAAAGCCACTATTAGAGCAACCTGGGCTATCATAACACCTGAGCCGTGCCACAGACTGATCGACTCCATGCCACGCCGCATTGCTGCAGTAATACAGGCCAAAGGAGGCCCAACTAAATACTGAGTGCTGTACATGCTCATACTTTTCATGTTCATACTTTTCAGTTGGCCAACATTTCTATAAATCCTTTGTTTTTATTGGTCTTCAGTAATATTCAAATTTTCTGATATGATGAATTTGAGATTTTCATTTGTTGTCATTTGTAATCATCAAAATTAAACAAAATAAACATCTGAAATATATGAGTTTGTATGTAATGTATGAATATAATATACAAGTTTCACTTTTTAAATGGAATTACTGAAATCAATCTACTTTTTCATGATATTCTAATTTTATGACCAGCACCTGTATATATGTGAATAAAAACAGGCAATTCAACAATATTCTTGGGGAACTCATATAATAATTCAGTCTATAGTTAATTTATAGTTCAGAAATAAATCAATTTATAAAAAAATCTAATTATAATTAAATTTAACAATTTAAATTGTCGTGTAAAGATACCACTTCAGATGCAGATTGTGTTTTCTGATATTTGCATTGCCCGGTCTATGATTTTAAACCAGAAGGAACTACTTCTTCAATATATTTTATTGAATAAGCAGTAGGATTTCCTTTGTTGTACCTCGGAATATAACTTCCTTAAAAAAAAAATAATAAAAAATGACAAACCGGGGGTCAAACCGAACAATGAGTTATTTACTAATATACCTCATATTTTTTCTGTAACAGTGGGACAGAGATCCTCCATAAAATCAGAAAAGCATAAAACAGAACTTATAAAATCAGTAAGATAATCCCCAAAATTCAAACCTTTAATTTTGTATTACTCTTTTTTTTGTAACTCTTATTACTCTGCATTGTTATGATGCTTCAAGCACAAGAGGGCACCCTGCAAGAAAAGTATGTAGACTCCAACAAAAATATATCAGGCTTGTGGGTAGATTAACCACGTGCTGCATTTTTAACCAAACTGGGCAACAATGTTGCAAGAAATGCACAAAGGTGATTTTTTTTTTTTTTTTATTCTGAACAAATTTTTTTGAGATAAGTCACATTCTGTTTCCAAACCCTGGAAACCAAAACAGAGCAGGTTGGGAAGCAAAGCATTAGGCTGTTTGTAGATGATGAAATGAAACTCATAAGGAACAGAACATGCTGATGGTGAGAAGATTATTAATGGTCTATGCTTACATAAGTTTGGATTTGATTTATCTATTAAATGAACAGGACAATTGTTCTTTTTCTGTATGGAAAACCTTTGAATAAAATCTGTAACGTGTCACCAGACTGAAGTTAAGGTCTTCACTCCTTTATTGGTCTATTAATCTAACATATTGATATGTAAGTTAGATCATTAGATAATAGTGAAGAAAATGCAAGAAGAAGGCTGCAATGAGTTATAATTATAGCATCCACTCCCTCCCCACACACACACCCCAACCCACAAAAGAAAAAAGCAAAAAAATAAAATAAAACAGTCTGACAGGTTTAAACAAAAGGTACATTCCTCTTTCTGCTTCCCAGTCCAAACACATACTGCCCCTGATGATGCTCTCTAAAAGAAAAAAACAAAAGAAAAACTCTTTTAGGCAATACAATTATTATAGTGTTCTTTTAAATGCCATAATTGTTGTTGTTTTCTTTTAACCCTTTTTAATTCATTCAAAATTAACTGCTCTTTCCAATATTTTGCAATTAGTTTACTTTTGCTGATAAAGTAGTGCATAATAACCACTTTAGCAATCCAATGCCATTGTTAATGTAGGAAGAACTTCTGTTTTATCAATTTCAAAAAGAATATCAATAATAACTAGACATCAGCTCTTAAACTAAACTCTTTTGAGGTATTTTGATGCTCTTACTATAATTGCCAAACCTAAAGCACATGTAGGTGTACTGGGCATTAAACGGAAATGGTAAATGGATGGGAAAAAAGGCAGGTTTACTACTAAAATCTAAAAGTAATGAGGGAACAACAAACAGGGGTGCACAGAAGATTTGTACATACTGTATGAGTATTTGTATATAAGATGTATGTAGACAGACAGACAGACAGACAGACAGACAGACAGACAGACAGACAGACAGACAGACAGACAGACAGACAGACAGCATTACATAGACATTCTCCTAAAAACATTGGCGTGGCTTTGGGTCCAGTGTTTTAACCTGTCAGTTGTTTGATTTATTTTTTATTTTTTTGCTGATGTAACAATGATGCTTCTTTTATTATTTAGCTTCATGAAACTAGGATTGAGGGAATTGTTACTCAGCCAATCTAATATTTGTCCCTCCCCTCACTACTTATTTGAGTTTTTTATCTTCTAAAATCTAAATATGCAGCCAAGCAAGAACTGATCCTGATTGTAGTAAATGTTTTAAGTTATGGTAATTATATGACACAAAAATGTCTGGACTGCAACTTCTGCCTCACTTGTTTGTTGGCTTACTATAAAGGACAATCATCTCTTTCTCTCTCTCTGGAATTTGGGGATGGGCATGGAACAGAAGTGACATTAAATTCCACAAGTATGATTCAGTGACACAGCACAACACAAGGAAGGCAAGGCAAAACCAACTGGAAAGCCCAGTCTTTTTCTGTCCTACTGACAAGCAGGAACTGTGGAGTGCCAAAAGTGCCAAGGTTCACTAAATAGTCCAATCTAAAAACCATTATTATAATATCTTATTATTTGAAAATAGATGAAAACAAATCCATTTATCGTCAATGTATCAATTAATCTATGCATCTCTTTATGTTTAAAATTAATGTACAGTTCTATATAAATGTATTAATTCTAAACAGGAAATTCATATTTTTATGTGAAGTTTCCCAAATCAATGAAATAAAAGTAAAATGCAATTATTAGTTTTAACTTTCCATCTAGACACCCAACAAAACAGGCAAAACACTCAAAATCAATGATAAAGGTAGGCAATGCAGTTTCTGTTTGAAACTTACCTGTTTGACATAATTACAATGATTTATGTTTTTTGTGATGGTGGTAGGGCTAGATATAGTAACATATTATAGTGTATCCTCCATTTGATAACACAATTGCCCAAAGAGCCATGAATAAAAAAAAAGATTACAAGTACTTGGCTGTTCTTTTATTTTTTTTAGCTAAAAGAAATAGTATCACATTGTTATTGTACAGCTCATACTGCACTCAGAAGCTTTGCACTTCTAAATGACGATGGAAGGGAGCAGCTCTCTCATCAACTTATTCTTTGTTGTCATAGCAAGTACGGGAGAGGCAGCATGGATGAAAGAGCATTAATGTAGCAACAACAAATAAAGACTAGTGCTAATAAAAAAAACTATAAGTGGTTCTAAATGGAGCCCAATAGTCTCCTCCTCAGCTATGTAGACGACATAATGGAAAGCTTTAGATTTGCCAGTTTTCAAAATATTAATTGAAGGTTCAGACGAATCAAATTAATATTCAGTATTAAGTATACTACTACATTAATGATGTTTTCAAATAAATCTTTAAAAGGTTTTATCAAAGCAGTTTAGGGTTGAACTAATCAGATGAATCATGATTAATCAATTACTGAAATAATCTCCAAGTAATTTAGTAATAGATTAATAGTTAACTGGAGTATAGAGACTCTAAAACATGCCTTAAGCTGACAGTGAAACTCAGAGATTGTAAATAAAGATTTTGCAGTTAAGTAAAAAAAAAAAAATAATTCTTTTTTGTCATTCTACCCTAGCCAGAACTCCTTAACCTTTTATAGGGCGGGTTAATGTTTTTTGATTACTTGCATACTCCCTTTCAAATGGAGTCCCCCGCGTCCTGCAGTGAGGTCTAAAGGCACAAGATTTATATCCAGCAATTCAGCGAAGATCCTGCTACATGGCTGTACATCTTAATTTGGCATTCCACCAATTAGATGAGCCCTTGAATGATTACTAATGTTAACAAGTCATGAAAAAAGGTAAAAAGCTAATTGAAAAGTTAAAAAGTAAAGCTAAAAAGTTAACAAGCCTAGTTAACATTACATTTAGGTTTATAAACTAAATATGTAAGTACCAGTATCAGCATTAATGTTTTTCACGAATTTCTTATAGAAGCACTTTTGTTATTTTTCTTAATATATTTGAGCAAGTGGTTGTTTCTTGTTATTACATTTGCATTCATTTTTGGCATCAAAATATATCCAGATTTTTGAATGTTACAAAGGTAATAAGGTCTTTTCCTGGATTCCAATAACATAATTGGCTTGACATTTTTTTAATCAATGAGTGCCCTACAAAGGGTTAAGTAGAAACTTTTTAGTTTCACCTCGTTTAAATCTGTAAAATAATATTCTTTAAGGAACCTTTGGCTATTGGATTATTAATCAATGAATCTAAACAATAATAGACTGATCATTTTGTAAACTAATAGTTAATTGCAGCCCTAAAGCATATACATTTAAAGGCCTTGATTCGTTGCAACTTTAGTTTTTTATTATGCAGTATTGTACGAGTATTAGAGTGGGCGTGGCTTTCCAGTTAAAATTGTTAATAGTCTGGTATTCTATTGGCTGTCAGCCGGACGGTCACTCTGTGGTCAACCAATCGCCTTCACCCTAGCCTCACAACGCCCCGCCCCCTGCAAACACAGCAACAAGTGCAGCGAGGATGCTCTCCAGCTCCAATCCAAGAAAGACTCACTGGAACAGAGCTCCTCATTGACCACACAAGCAGCTTCATTGTAGCGTCAGGTTATAACTCCCCGTACGATTCCAAATAGCATTTATCGTTGTTTTACTCTGTTTTGAACGAGTTTAACCGGTTCGCGAAAGTGAAATTAGAAACGGCGTCGCTTACGCAACTCGGGTAGAAGTTTTCTGAGTGAGTTAGCTTCCGCTGCTAGCTCAAGAAGTCAAGGAGCCGTGTGTCCCCCCAGTATGCTTCTGGGTGACTGAAGAAAAGAGGAGAGAGGGGAGGAGGAAGACGTTTGTTGGGCTTTTTCTGGAACCGATATGAACCTGGCAGAAGGCAGCAAGCAAGCCGCTAGGAGACACACTCTGCTACGGCATGGATAAATAGCAGAACAGCTGCTGTGTCTGTGAGAAGAAAGGTGGAGGAGGACACCAGCGACTATGAGCAGGGTATGTATTATTGTTTTTACTCTGTTTCCTCAGGGCTAAAACACGTTAATTGAAATGATCAGTATTCCACCAGCCCTTGAAATTGCATTGATTTTTTTTTCTCCCCTCCTTTGACTGAAACGGGACCTGTGGGGGTTATTATGGTGCATTACAGCGGTGGTTGTTATAGTGATGTGGGAGATGCCAGGCTGTGCTGGGAGTTAGTTAGTTAGTGATGGAGGGAGGGAGGGGGCTGAGGGCCTGCTAATACAAAGAACCCAACCGTCCAAAATGTAAATGAAAGGAAACGTGAAAGAGCACTTAGACCGTGAGATCTACATGAACACATGAACTTTTCATTGTAATCTACAGCTAGCAATCAATACTCTGGTTTGAGCTGTAGATTTAAAGCTTTGATGGTGGAGTAAGATCAAACAGCGGTAAGCCTGAAAGATCAAAGGACTGTTAATTGATGCCAGGTTGGTTAACAAGGACTGATTAAGTAAAGTAAACCCTAATGGTATTTTATGTTTCCCTATTGGCATCTGCAACTTTATAAAGTGTTGTTCCGAAGCATTAGACAAATTGTATTTTGATTGTTTCTCATTTAAGTAGTTATCGTGTCAGTAACTTATTATTTTTATTTAATTGAAAGGTTCAATTTCAATTCAATTTATGTATAAAGTGCCAGTTTACAACACATGTCATCTCAAAGCGTTTTACAGTTCACCAGATCATACAGTCATATTGATTCAAAGTTTTCTATCTCAGGAAAAAACTGTTGATTACATGGACTCATTGACTCTTCAGCATTCCCTCACACTAAGTATGCTTGTAGCGACAGTAGAGAGGAAAAACTCCCTTTTAACGAGAAGAAGCCTCCAGCAGACCAGGCTCAGTGTGAGCGGCCATCTATCGAGGCTGACTGGGGTTCAAGGAGAAAGAAGCAGCGATACAAAAAGCAGCTGTAAAAGGCGGCACCGTCCAGGAAAAACACAGCCAGGCAGACGAGCTCTGAGCTAACTCGTATGTCAGAGGATGAAGAAAGCATATCCAGCCAGTCACAATCAGAGAAAAAGGACTACACTGGAAAAACAGGCCGATCTCCAATATCTATAAACAAAGGTGTTGATAGCAGCAGCACAGAGGTTAAACCTGAATGTTTTTTTCTCCATTATTTAATATACCAAATTTTGTTCTACCTACTTATAAACAAAATGAGTTATCCAGTTCCTTCCTGAACTTGAGATACGATGTACAAAGCCTATTCTTTTTTGATAGATAATATATCCGGCACAGGTCGCAAAACTTTACCGAAGAACAAACACTTTACACCTGAAGTCATACAATGTAATAATAAATGAAAATTGAACGAGGGAATTTTAAATCTTTTTCTTATTTGACTTTGAGCAGTGATCCTCCCGTCCGATTCTGAACATTTGAGCTCATCTACTCAGATAAATCTAAACTAGATGGAAGCAGAAATATGTGGCTACAAATAAATTAAGCATTTGATTAAATGCATCTTTTTGAGTTTGAAAAAAAAAAATTAGATAAAGGTTATTAACACATTGTGATATTTAGATAGTTTAAATGTTATAATTGCTTAACCTTTTTTTTTTGGGGGGTCAAATCCTAATCTTTGTTTTTTTTGGAACTCTAAACTATCTGTTTTTTCACACCGTTTACCCCAAAAGTTAATACATAGATGTATAACATGAGCCAATTCCTGTGATTTAAAACAGAAAATGAACAGATTCCTACTGCTACACTGTTAACAATTAACCTACATTAACGTTAACATAATTTTAATGTTAATGTTAATCTAATTTCAATAGCTATAATACACCTAGAGAAGTTACGTTACGTCCGCTTAACATTTCTAGATACATTTTCATACAGTTGCAATTAAAACAAACTAAACATACAAAATTATAGAATAAAAACATGCAATATATTGTGTTAGTTTCAAGTAGGGATGTAAGCATCAATGGGAATCAAAGAAAATAAGGCAAATTGAGCACATATTGCAACCGATATTGTCACCACGCTATTTTATTTCACAAGATTTTCTCATATTCATACAACCATATTTTCTATTACCTAGTGTGCGTAATGTGTTTTTAGCAGCAATTCCAAGTGTACGGGCAATTTTGCTTTGACTCACAGATTCATATTTGAGGTGATTTGAATGTCTGCTAGAGAATGACATAAATAAACTGAATTAGAGCAGTTTAGTTTGTTGCCTTTCATATGATGGGGTTTAACAATTGCAAGAAGGAAAAAAAAATAAATGAATAAAACTGAGGTTTTTCTGTTTAACAAGTGATTGATCAGGGTCAATTCATCTGAAAACTGTCTTATTAGGGCCACCAACAGGTTTCTGACACATCTCTACCTTTTTTTTTTTCATCATATCTCTTTTTAGAATAACAGGATACTGCAGCTGATGCAAGCTTGCCCCCTTTTTTTTTTTGAACAGATAGCTTTCAAATTGTTGGCCAGTGAAACTCCAAATATTTCAAAACAGCCAAATCCATCTTTTTTTCCCAGTTGGGGAAGGGGCAAACACTCATTAGATTTAAAGACAGCTCACATCCCCCCTGCATTTTCTTAAAAGGTCTTTGAACCGTAGCATTTTTATCTGTGTATGTTTTTCTGTTTTTAAACTTTTAGTCCTTCTAAATGGGTCTAGTCTGCTACTATGAAAAAATAAGAAAAAAACATGGAAAAAATATTCATCTTCAAACAAAATAATATAAGCTTGGCATTCATCCTGATAGATTTAACTTTCTCCTTTTTGAATCTGACAAGCATTTTTACACCAGCTGTGATCATTAGACTTAAACATTGTTGTGCAGCAACCTCTGGCAGCTTATAATACCAAATTGGAAACTTGAACTTAAACTCTGGTCAATATCATAAGCTGTCAACTTAACTTTCCAAAGAATAGCAATAATATGACTAGCATCAGTTTTAGCAAGGCAGTGTACCATCAGCTTAGCAGCAAAATCTAAATATTTCTGCAGCCTTATACTCTACTCCGCTTTTATAATTTATCCATCTTGGCACCAAATATTGTTTTTCACTTTCACTTGATCTTTGACATTTTCCTCTTTCTTATTAAATTTCCATTCTGCACTGCTCACTCACTCAGCTTCACCTCTTCTCCCATGGACATGTGTCTGTTCTTCTTTTCTCCCATTGTACCAGTGTGCAATATCGTAACTCTTCTCATGTAGTTTTGTTACAGTAAATAACACCAAGAACTTTGTTTGCAAACTAATATAGCAAAAAAGCGAACATGGCGTAATCATTTAATTAGAAGAGTCAACTACAGGAGTTGAAATTCATTGGGTCATAGTACATGAAAGGCTTCATTATTACTTTGATTTTTGTTTGATTGACTTTGCCTTGACACTAGAAACTACCTCACGTCTTATAAAATTCAGTTAAATGTTTAAAAGAAGAAGAAAATTTTAATTTAAAACCACAAACATGGAAAAAAACCAAGGTTAGAATCAAATGCCCTATAAAAATGGGTGGATCTTTAGTAGTTCTTTAAGACCTTCCACTTCTCTTCAGTAAAGCATGGAAGGGACCATGGCAAATGAAGCAATGCCTTCTGTTTTCATTCGTTTTAATTCATGGAACATTTAAAAAGGTCCGATGTTTGACCCAGGGGCTCTTGTTGGAGGATAGGAAAAGTTTCTTCACATAAACCAAGGTCAGCCTGAGCCATGTAATCTACTGTATCAATAAATCATTTGAAACTTTAAGGAAGCCAGTAAACTCAAAGGTCAAAGTCTAGAAGCCATTTTTTTGATACCATACTAAACAGCTACAATATTACTGTAGCTTAGGATGTATTTTTCTGTTTTAAATTAAGTGATAACCAATGAGAAATAATGGATCTAATAATACATTTAAACCAATCATTTCCTATATTTTCTTTAATGTTGGGCTATCAGGTTTCTGTAATGGTCAGTGACATTGAGCTTTGGTGCTGTTTTGTCCTCTCTGAGCCTTGTGCATTGTGGGGTTTTAGGTTTCTGGTTGTCTGTCTGTGACAGCCCCCTACAGATCAGGTGAAGTGTGCGGCTCCCTAAGTGAGAGTGGAGGCACTCCCTGGTTTGTCCTCCACCTGTACTTCCCACACTATAGAGGAAGAGGTGTGGTGTCTCCTGAGCTACATGCCTTTGCCAGATCAAAAATCAGAAACTGGGTCATGCATTAATATGACACTTTTATTCAGGAAAAGAGGTGCTGATCTAGATGGAACGTATTTTGGAAAAACTTGGCAAATCAGAGCTGATATTTAGTCATTAAAGGAAAATCAAAAAATGAATGGACTATCTAGTTGCCTTTATCTCCATAGAAGAATAAACCTCGGGTATTTCCTGTTGGTTTATTCAAAAGGTGTCACTTAGCTGAACCAAGTGTTTCCCCTGATTACATTATCATTTTGATCAAACCGGTCCTACACACAGGCAGGTGGAGCTTTGAGAACCAGATTACAAGTGGAAAGGAGTATGAGGATACACACACTGCACACTCACACGGTCAGTTTCCTCCACCATTGAATCGCTGACACTTTTCATTCCTGCCAGAGACTGGCTTAAGAGTTACTTCCAAAGATAAAAGCTAAAAGTTTTTTAATTGGATTCATGTCAGCAGTCAGTGAGGCGAATTGTTGCCTAATTCACAGAATCACAGAATATGAAATCATTTTTTTGAAAGATAAAACTTTTCCTTTCTACACAACATACTGTAAATGTAGCTTAAAACCATTTTTAGGCAGACTGTTTAACTGATCAGCCAGTCTGTTTTGCTTCATTAAGGCAAACATAAATGGAGACGGGGATCAAGACACCAGACGGTTAAAATGCTGGTGCTCCAGGGTGCTTGTGTCTGTCTGAAAGCTAAGACAGAAAATTAAATGTCCTAAATCTCCCTCAATGTTTGTGTCTGGTGTACGTTTATATTTATATATCTTTGGTCCAGTTTTGACTTAATTAGTT